ATCCTCTCGGAAAGGCATATATGCGTTTGCGCGTCATAAACAAACTGGGTGCGATCATACCAGCACTAATGCACCGGATCCCATCAGAACTCCGCAGTTAAGCGTGCTTGGGCGAGAGTAGTACTAGGATGGGTGACCTCCCGGGAAGTCCTCGTGTTGCACCCCTTTTTTTGTTAATTTTTTTCTGTATTTCTATCTGAAACTTCCAAAATGCGTAGCTGGAAGACCGTGAGGCCGTATGCTGCCACCAACCACTTTTCGTGAAGCTCCAAAAGAGCTCTAGGCGTAAAATATCGTTTGGACCCCAAAAAATGGCGTTTGGACGCTTTTCCGGGCCGTTTTCTGGTGCGGACACAAATCAATGAATCGAAAGTGCTATGCATAGTGTTTTTTGGATGCATCCATCCTCCCTCTCACATAAGGGTCACTTAGGACTCCGGATCGGGCCTAAGCATCAAGTGGGGCCTACGCCGCCGAATAAACGTTCAAGATCCTCTCGGAAAGGCATATATGCGTTTGCGCGTCATAAACAAACTGGGTGCGATCATACCAGCACTAATGCACCGGATCCCATCAGAACTCCGCAGTTAAGCGTGCTTGGGCGAGAGTAGTACTAGGATGGGTGACCTCCCGGGAAGTCCTCGTGTTGCACCCCTTTTTTTGTTAATTTTTTTCTGTATTTCTATCTGAAACTTCCAAAATGCGTAGCTGGAAGACCGTGAGGCCGTATGCTGCCACCAACCACTTTTCGTGAAGCTCCAAAAGAGCTCTAGGCGTAAAATATCGTTTGGACCCCAAAAAATGGCGTTTGGACGCTTTTCCGGGCCGTTTTCTGGTGCGGACACAAATCAATGAATCGAAAGTGCTATGCATAGTGTTTTTTGGATGCATCCATCCTCCCTCTCACATAAGGGTCACTTAGGACTCCGGATCGGGCCTAAGCATCAAGTGGGGCCTACGCCGCCGAATAAACGTTCAAGATCCTCTCGGAAAGGCATATATGCGTTTGCGCGTCATAAACAAACTGGGTGCGATCATACCAGCACTAATGCACCGGATCCCATCAGAACTCCGCAGTTAAGCGTGCTTGGGCGAGAGTAGTACTAGGATGGGTGACCTCCCGGGAAGTCCTCGTGTTGCACCCCTTTTTTTGTTAATTTTTTTCTGTATTTCTATCTGAAACTTCCAAAATGCGTAGCTGGAAGACCGTGAGGCCGTATGCTGCCACCAACCACTTTTCGTGAAGCTCCAAAAGAGCTCTAGGCGTAAAATATCGTTTGGACCCCAAAAAATGGCGTTTGGACGCTTTTCCGGGCCGTTTTCTGGTGCGGACACAATATCAATGAATCGAAAGTGCTATGCATAGTGTTTTTTGGATGCATCCATCCTCCCTCTCACATAAGGGTCACTTAGGACTCCGGATCGGGCCTAAGCATCAAGTGGGGCCTACGCCGCCGAATAAACGTTCAAGATCCTCTCGGAAAGGCATATATGCGTTTGCGCGTCATAAACAAACGGGTGCGATCATACCAGCACTAATGCACCGGATCCCATCAGAACTCCGCAGTTAAGCGTGCTTGGGCGAGAGTAGTACTAGGATGGGTGACCTCCCGGGAAGTCCTCGTGTTGCACCCCTTTTTTTGTTAATTTTTTTCTGTATTTCTATCTGAAACTTCCAAAATGCGTAGCTGGAAGACCGTGAGGCCGTATGCTGCCACCAACCACTTTTCGTGAAGCTCCAAAAGAGCTCTAGGCGTAAAATATCGTTTGGACCCCAAAAAATGGCGTTTGGACGCTTTTCCGGGCCGTTTTCTGGTGCGGACACAAAATCAATGAATCGAAAGTGCTATGCATAGTGTTTTTTGGATGCATCCATCCTCCCTCTCACATAAGGGTCACTTAGGACTCCGGATCGGGCCTAAGCATCAAGTGGGGCCTACGCCGCCGAATAAACGTTCAAGATCCTCTCGGAAAGGCATATATGCGTTTGCGCGTCATAAACAAACTGGGTGCGATCATACCAGCACTAATGCACCGGATCCCATCAGAACTCCGCAGTTAAGCGTGCTTGGGCGAGAGTAGTACTAGGATGGGTGACCTCCCGGGAAGTCCTCGTGTTGCACCCCTTTTTTTGTTAATTTTTTTCTGTATTTCTATCTGAAACTTCCAAAATGCGTAGCTGGAAGACCGTGAGGCCGTATGCTGCCACCAACCACTTTTCGTGAAGCTCCAAAAGAGCTCTAGGCGTAAAATATCGTTTGGACCCCAAAAAATGGCGTTTGGACGCTTTTCCGGGCCGTTTTCTGGTGCGGACACAAAATCAATGAATCGAAAGTGCTATGCATAGTGTTTTTTGGATGCATCCATCCTCCCTCTCACATAAGGGTCACTTAGGACTCCGGATCGGGCCTAAGCATCAAGTGGGGCCTACGCCGCCGAATAAACGTTCAAGATCCTCTCGGAAAGGCATATATGCGTTTGCGCGTCATAAACAAACTGGGTGCGATCATACCAGCACTAATGCACCGGATCCCATCAGAACTCCGCAGTTAAGCGTGCTTGGGCGAGAGTAGTACTAGGATGGGTGACCTCCCGGGAAGTCCTCGTGTTGCACCCCTTTTTTTGTTAATTTTTTTCTGTATTTCTATCTGAAACTTCCAAAATGCGTAGCTGGAAGACCGTGAGGCCGTATGCTGCCACCAACCACTTTTCGTGAAGCTCCAAAAGAGCTCTAGGCGTAAAATATCGTTTGGACCCCAAAAAATGGCGTTTGGACGCTTTTCCGGGCCGTTTTCTGGTGCGGACACAATATCAATGAATCGAAAGTGCTATGCATAGTGTTTTTTGGATGCATCCATCCTCCCTCTCACATAAGGGTCACTTAGGACTCCGGATCGGGCCTAAGCATCAAGTGGGGCCTACGCCGCCGAATAAACGTTCAAGATCCTCTCGGAAAGGCATATATGCGTTTGCGCGTCATAAACAAACGGGTGCGATCATACCAGCACTAATGCACCGGATCCCATCAGAACTCCGCAGTTAAGCGTGCTTGGGCGAGAGTAGTACTAGGATGGGTGACCTCCCGGGAAGTCCTCGTGTTGCACCCCTTTTTTTGTTAATTTTTTTCTGTATTTCTATCTGAAACTTCCAAAATGCGTAGCTGGAAGACCGTGAGGCCGTATGCTGCCACCAACCACTTTTCGTGAAGCTCCAAAAGAGCTCTAGGCGTAAAATATCGTTTGGACCCCAAAAAATGGCGTTTGGACGCTTTTCCGGGCCGTTTTCTGGTGCGGACACAAAATCAATGAATCGAAAGTGCTATGCATAGTGTTTTTTGGATGCATCCATCCTCCCTCTCACATAAGGGTCACTTAGGACTCCGGATCGGGCCTAAGCATCAAGTGGGGCCTACGCCGCCGAATAAACGTTCAAGATCCTCTCGGAAAGGCATATATGCGTTTGCGCGTCATAAACAAACTGGGTGCGATCATACCAGCACTAATGCACCGGATCCCATCAGAACTCCGCAGTTAAGCGTGCTTGGGCGAGAGTAGTACTAGGATGGGTGACCTCCCGGGAAGTCCTCGTGTTGCACCCCTTTTTTTGTTAATTTTTTTCTGTATTTCTATCTGAAACTTCCAAAATGCGTAGCTGGAAGACCGTGAGGCCGTATGCTGCCACCAACCACTTTTCGTGAAGCTCCAAAAGAGCTCTAGGCGTAAAATATCGTTTGGACCCCAAAAAATGGCGTTTGGACGCTTTTCCGGGCCGTTTTCTGGTGCGGACACAAATCAATGAATCGAAAGTGCTATGCATAGTGTTTTTTGGATGCATCCATCCTCCCTCTCACATAAGGGTCACTTAGGACTCCGGATCGGGCCTAAGCATCAAGTGGGGCCTACGCCGCCGAATAAACGTTCAAGATCCTCTCGGAAAGGCATATATGCGTTTGCGCGTCATAAACAAACGGGTGCGATCATACCAGCACTAATGCACCGGATCCCATCAGAACTCCGCAGTTAAGCGTGCTTGGGCGAGAGTAGTACTAGGATGGGTGACCTCCCGGGAAGTCCTCGTGTTGCACCCCTTTTTTTGTTAATTTTTTTCTGTATTTCTATCTGAAACTTCCAAAATGCGTAGCTGGAAGACCGTGAGGCCGTATGCTGCCACCAACCACTTTTCGTGAAGCTCCAAAAGAGCTCTAGGCGTAAAATATCGTTTGGACCCCAAAAAATGGCGTTTGGACGCTTTTCCGGGCCGTTTTCTGGTGCGGACACAATATCAATGAATCGAAAGTGCTATGCATAGTGTTTTTTGGATGCATCCATCCTCCCTCTCACATAAGGGTCACTTAGGACTCCGGATCGGGCCTAAGCATCAAGTGGGGCCTACGCCGCCGAATAAACGTTCAAGATCCTCTCGGAAAGGCATATATGCGTTTGCGCGTCATAAACAAACTGGGTGCGATCATACCAGCACTAATGCACCGGATCCCATCAGAACTCCGCAGTTAAGCGTGCTTGGGCGAGAGTAGTACTAGGATGGGTGACCTCCCGGGAAGTCCTCGTGTTGCACCCCTTTTTTTGTTAATTTTTTTCTGTATTTCTATCTGAAACTTCCAAAATGCGTAGCTGGAAGACCGTGAGGCCGTATGCTGCCACCAACCACTTTTCGTGAAGCTCCAAAAGAGCTCTAGGCGTAAAATATCGTTTGGACCCCAAAAAATGGCGTTTGGACGCTTTTCCGGGCCGTTTTCTGGTGCGGACACAAAATCAATGAATCGAAAGTGCTATGCATAGTGTTTTTTGGATGCATCCATCCTCCCTCTCACATAAGGGTCACTTAGGACTCCGGATCGGGCCTAAGCATCAAGTGGGGCCTACGCCGCCGAATAAACGTTCAAGATCCTCTCGGAAAGGCATATATGCGTTTGCGCGTCATAAACAAACGGGTGCGATCATACCAGCACTAATGCACCGGATCCCATCAGAACTCCGCAGTTAAGCGTGCTTGGGCGAGAGTAGTACTAGGATGGGTGACCTCCCGGGAAGTCCTCGTGTTGCACCCCTTTTTTTGTTAATTTTTTTCTGTATTTCTATCTGAAACTTCCAAAATGCGTAGCTGGAAGACCGTGAGGCCGTATGCTGCCACCAACCACTTTTCGTGAAGCTCCAAAAGAGCTCTAGGCGTAAAATATCGTTTGGACCCCAAAAAATGGCGTTTGGAAGACCAGCTGCAACCGCCGCAGCCGCTACAGCCATAACGCCGCCTACTTCATCAGATCGATTTGGAGGATTAACAGTAAGAATCTCTCTAGACGAAGAACAACTCCCACCACTAGTAGTTCCACTATCTCTCCTCATATGATACTCTCCGCCGCCTCCACCGCTACTCCCTTCACCGCCTATAGCGTTCAAGCTTGATGTAGAAGATGACCAATTGCATTGTCTAGGTTGAGTCTGATAAAAGATCTTAGACACAACAAGCTCTCCTTCTTTCTCTTCCTCATGTGTCCCCAAATGATATTGATGCATTACCCAGTTGGTTTTCTCCGGTTTTCGATTCTTACCAAAATTTGTATACAAAACCAAAATCTTCTTACAACCTTTTTGCTTGCCGCTAACCATAACCGGTCTTGTCTTACCGGTCTTATGCCACCTCGTCTCACCGGAGCTACTACTTCCTTGCATATTATTGTCACATTCCGTTTGAATCTTTCTTCGCTTTCTTGTTCCCGTTGTGTACGCCTTCGATGGTCTATGAAAGAAGTGTCTGCTTAAACCATCTCTAGTCACTCCTACCACAACAGAAAAAAGACAAAAGTAATTAAAAGTTATATGTTTCTTGTGAGACCCAACTGAAAAAATATTTAAACTTTGGTATGACCACATTCTCCAATCTCCATATAGTCATATCAAACAATCATATATATGATGTAAGATAGCCAAATATGTGATTTACATATGGACTGCATGAAAGATATACAATACGCGATGAAATGTTTACGTAGTTGTATATGTGAAAAAAAAATATATATAAGTTAAGATTCAAACTTTGGTGCGACCCAACTAAAAAATATCAAACTTTGGTATGACCCAATGCGCTATATATAGTGATAGTAAAAAATATATATATATTATAATGAACTAATAAAAGATATATGAACGAAGGTGTTTATGCATGTGCGAATGTACCTGGGAGTTTCTCTGGATGAGTGTAGCAAATGCCGTCTTCGCCTTCAATGGTGGGGATGAATTCGTCAATGAGAGGGTGAGATTTAATGTCTTTAACTAAGACTTTTGCTTCTAAATGTTCTATCAATTCTTGATCCGTTGGGTCAAATTTCACTCCTGCTGGTAAACCAACCCAATCCTGCTAAAAAGCATAAAAGAGATAAATTTAAATGAGATAAAGAAAAAAGTACAAGAGAATATAAGTATATACAACTATACATATAAAGACTCGTACATATACGCTTTAAAATTTGGATTTTGAATTTCTTGCAAGCGAGAGAATAAAACAGAGAGCATCATTCTTGATGTTCTTCATTTGATTCTTTTCTTTTTTTTTTTCTTACAAAAACAATTACAAGTGACCTAAAATGAGAAAAAGATGGAAGAAATAATTTATATTTTTAAGTATATTAAAATAGAACAACAGAAAAAAAGGGAATATGACTTACTGGTTTCCCTTCGAGCTTGTGGCCGCAGCTGGGACATTTCTTGGATCCACAAAGTTGATGTTCTTCGATCTTTGCGTCAATTATATCCGAACCGGTCACCGAACCAGCATGATTACTCTA